CTTACAAGGAAAAATGGAAAAACTTCAGAATAACACCAGACACAAAATTAACAGGCAAATAGCTGAGCAAAGATGTCTACAACATAGATGTCAGACTATACACTTAATATAGTTATTTAAAATTAATAAGAGAGAAAAGATTAATAAGAGAAAAAATAGCAATGACCATGACTAGGCAATTTTTTAAAAAGAAATACAAATGGCCAATATATAAGAAAAATGTTCAAACAACCCATTAATAATTTGACTTTTTTAAGCAAATCAAGTCAAAATGAGATAATATTTTTAGTTGGCTGGGCAATGATAGTAATTTCTGAGTAGTAGGATTACAAGTTAAATTCTTTAAATTTAACCTTAGAAATGGAGGCTTCATCAACTGTATTTTTATAATTCTAGCTTATGATGTTCCTGATACGCTGCTGCACAGGCATGTGCAGTATTGGGATATAAGAAGGTTCATTTTCTCCCTGGTCCATCCTGAACAGTTGTCTGCTGTGCTGAAGCTGTCTGAGAATGGCAATCCTAAGTCTTGCCATGGTAGTACTCAGGGTTATCTAAAAGGATCTAGACATATGTCAAGATCCTATATATCAGGGGTCCCCAACCCCCAGGCCACAGACTAACACTGGTCTGTAGCCTGTTAGAATCTGGACCCCACAGCAGGAGGTGAACAGTGGGTGAGCGAGCAAAGATTCATCTGTATTTATAGCCACTCCCCATTGCTCACATTACCACCTGAGCTCCACGTCCTGTCAGATCAGTGGCAGCATTAGATTCTCATAGGAGCACAAACCCTATCATGAACTGCACATGTGAGGGATCTAGGTTGCATGCTCCTTATGACAATCTAATGCCTGATGATCTGTCACTGTCTCCCATTACCCCCAGATGGGACCGTCTAGTTGCAGGAAAACAAACTCAGGGCTCCCATTGATTCTACATTATGGTGACTTGCATAATTATTTCATTATATATTACAATGTTATAATAAAAGAAATAAGCCAGGCATGGTGGCTCACGCCTGTAATCCCAGCACATTGGGAGGCCAAGGCAGGTGGATCACCTGAGGTCAGGAGTTTGAGACCAGCCTGGCCAATATGGTGAAACCCCGTCTCTACTAAAAATACAAAAATTAACCCAGCGTGCTGGTGCGCACCTGTAATCCCAGCCACTCGGGAGACTGAGACAGGAGAATCACTTGAACCCGGAAGGAGGAGATTGCAGTGAGCCGAGATCACGCCATTGCACTGCAGCCTGGGCGACAGAGCAAGACTCTGCCTCAAAAATATAATAATAATAATAGAAATAAAGTGCACAATAAATGTAATGCACTTGAATCACCCTGAAACCATCCCTCCACCACACTGCCCCCACCCCACCATCTGTCTGTGAAAAGATTGTCTTCCACAAAACCAGTCCCTGGTACCAAAAAGATTGGGGATGGCTGCCAAATATGGCTCCCTCAAGAACCCCTGAAAGTCCCCTGACCTGACCTCCTTGCCTCCCACCTCAAGTCAGACATTCTTCCCTCTCTGCACTCTCACACAACCCTGGGTCGGTCTCTTGCTATTGGCCATTTTGAAGGGTCTTCACATGTGGACTCCCAAAGTTCTTAAACTTGGAACATTTATCCATTCAACAAACTCATTTGAGGGTCAGAGCCAGACAGAAACCAGGCTTACCAAGGATCATAAGATGTCGCCATACCCGGAGGGACCCTTTCTCTGGGAACTTTAGGGAGATGACAGACAATTCACAATACTTAGTGGGATCCACACTCAGAAGTGAGAGCTCAAAGTCTTCTCTGCTTGGATTTTTAAGTTTGCATTGGTTTCAGTCTTGCTCAGTTTTCCTTTCCTTCTACATATTCTGTGGAATGCAGTTGCTAGTTTCACCCTTTAGCCTGGAGGTGTTGTGTTCTGTTCTGTTCTCTCTCCCTGCCTTTCTTCCTCTCTCCCTGCCTTTCTTCCTCTCTCCCTGCCTTTCTTCCTCTCTCCCTCTCTTACCTCCCTCACCCCTTCCTCTCTCTTGCTATCTCTCTCACATCCTCTTTCTCCCCACCCTACCTGTTTATCTGCAAAGCAGGCATGCGCAGGACATTTCACATCCCTCTGGGGTCCTGAGGCTCTAACCTCTGAGCCCCCTCCATCCACTGGCCCCTGTGCCCTGCCCCACACCGCCTCGAAGCTGGAGCATCTCTGTGCTCACCAGATGTCTTCCACCCTCTGCTCTCATTGTTCTAAGACAGTGAGATGGAGGAGGGCTGCCTCAGAGCACAAACCGCTGGGAGAAGGGCCAGCATCCCAAGGTGGGAAACACCAGGTACCTCAGACAGCCAAACAAAGCCCTGGAGAAACAGAGGCAGGAGGGAGCCCAGAGCACACTGTGGAGAATGCTGCCAAAGACAGACAGGAGAACATTCCAGGGAGAGAGGGGGGCCTGCCCAAAGGCTCAGGGCTCTCCCTGACTCCTGAGGTACTCACTTTCTCTCTCTGGGCCTCAGTTTTCCTATCCATAAATGGAGTGTACCGCAAAGAGCCTAGAGGGAATCTGGGGGAAACCCCCAGGTCTCCAAGGTGGTAGGAGCTAAGGAGTAGGGGAGAAATGGTTGGGCAGGAAGGAATGGGGGTACCTTCAGGAAGCAGCAGAAGCCGCCTCTCTCTGGTGTTCTCTCAGTCCTCACAGCTTGTCCTGGGAGAGGAGACGCCCGGACTGTGTTCTGGGACCAGCTGCTTTGGGAGCAGTGGGTGGAAAACGGGTTGCGGGGAAGGCCCAGCAAATGTGGCTATCTGTATCCAGCCCGCTAAGCTGCCAATGAGAATACGAGTTCAGCACGTTATGTGGCAACAAAACAGAGGCTTTGCAAGCAGCAAGACTCTGGGTCTTTTGGCTTCTCTGACTTTGATTCCAAAAAGTGGGGGCGGTTACTGGGTGTTGGGGACCTAGCGTTTGCTGAGCGTCTCCTGTGCACTGGCCACTCAAATTGTCCCATGGCTTCCAGGAGCTTCCTCATTTCACCTTCGTATTTTACACAGAAAGACTCAAGGCTGGGAGACCTTAGGTAACTTATTCATGGTCTCACAGCTGGGAAGGGGCATTGGGCAGATTTCAGCCCCTCTCTGTGCTAATCTCAAACTCTAGCTCTTCTGTTGATCCATGGCTTTTACCCGTGTTCGCCAGAGCCCTGGTTTCCTCCAAGATACCTTGGGGGAGGGGGTGTGGAGCCCAGCAGGCCAGGACTTGAGGAGACAGAGGCCACTGGCCAGAGCAGCTCCCTGCCCTCTGCTGGCCCATGGATATGCCACTCCATGCATAGACGAGCCTGGCCTTGATTTAATGCTCTGCTGTCACCATCTGGAAATGCTTAGTAATTCTTTAACCAGGGGCCTGCATTCTCATTTAGCACCAGGCCCCCCAGATTATATCATCCATCCTGCCGATGCAGTTTTCACGTAAGGTCTCACATGAGAAAAGGGTTTGCTGCTGAAGTCGCGCAGGAGGTTTGAGGACAGTCACCTCTGGAGGAGCAGGAAGTCCCTGGGGCAGAGGTGACCCTGTGCTTTCTCTTTCAGTGAAACCATCATGTTTTTACATCAGATCTTTTACCAAGGCCTGAAGGCCCGCATCTCCAGCTGGCCCACGCTAGTCCTGGGTGAGTAGTCAACCCTCACTGAGGCCCCCAGAGAAATCTCCCTCCAGGGGCCACCCCAAAAGGCTGCAGCAGTTTTGTCCTTCTAGAGCATAATAGAGTGTCACTTTTTAAAACCCACAGAATCCCTCAGAGGGGGCAGAAGAGAAAAGACAAGTTGGCAAATCCTGTATTTCTAAGAGGAAATGATATATTTTTAGTTTCCTATCCACTTTCCCCTTTTATAAAGAATGTATACACATCCATTTCAGAAAAATTGAGAACCCATAAAAGTAGAAAATGTTTAAAAATATCAAGCATAGTTCTGCTTCCCAAAGATAACCACTATAAACACTTTGGTGTGTTTTCTTCCAATTTTTTTCTATGCAGAGATCTTGGGTTTTTTTCCACTTTACATAATTGCAAACATACTGAATATAGAATTTGTATCTTGCTGTGTGTTGTTTTTTTTTCTTTTACTTAGCATTATCCCATAAGCATTTTCTCATGCCCAAAGCATGCTTTTTGATCACTGTGTAATACTCCAGTACCCATGAAGGCACTGTCATTTATCAAACTGTCTGCTATGGTTGGCTCTTAGAGTTGTTTCAATTTTTTGTTATTAGAAATAATCATCTCTTCATAAGAAATTTTCTCCATATTAGAGATCATTTCCTTGGGATAGGTTTCCAATTAGCAGAATTGCTAAAACAAAGAACCCAAAAATGTGAAAGGCTCTTGCTTCATACATATTGTCCCATTGTTCTCCAAGATGGCAGCACTGCCCTAAGTTCCACAAGCAACAGACAGAAGAACCTCCTGCATCTCACCCTCAACCTGCACCAAGTGTCTTTCTTTTTTTTCACTTTCTTAATGTGGTAGATAAAGGTGAGTGTTGGTGTCACCTCCACGATGGAGGCAAAGAAAATGGCTTAGGGAAGTAAAGGGATAGCAAAGGCTGCATAGGTGGAGGGCACAGAGCAGGCCCAGGCCTGGCTCTCCAGAGCTCCCCTGCCCTCAGCTTCCCAGGGGGAAGTAGACACTATTATTTTTCTCAAGTCAAAGACCCGTGCTTTTCTCTAAGGTCAAAATAAGAAGTGTCCTTAGAAAGATGGGGTCCTCATCTTCTGCAATTGCATTGTTGAAGATATTGTCCATCAGGTGGTCGGACACCCATCACATGAGCTACCATTTAGAGTTGATTACAAGGAAAGCATGTTTCCTTTCTTAAATGGGACTTATAAGAAGATGTTTTGGCCAGGCGTGGTGACTCACGCCTTTAATCCCAGCACTGTGGGAGGCTAAGGCAGGCAGATCGCCTGAGGTCAGGAGGTGAAGACCAGCCTGGCCAATATGGTGAAACCCTGTCTCTACTAGCATTACAAAAATTAGCCAGGTATGGTGGCGTACACCTGTAGTCCCAGCTACGTGGGAGGCTGAGGCAGGAGAATTGCTTGAACCCAGGAGGCAGAGGTTACGGTGAGCCAAGATCTCACCATGGCACTCCACTCCAGCCTGGGCGACAGAACGAGACTCTTATCTCAAAAAAATGAAGAGGAAGAAGAAGAAGATGTTTCAAGGCCAGGCACAGTGGCTCACGCCTGTAATCTCACCACTTTGGGAGGCCAGGGCAGGCAGATCGCTTGAGTTCAGGAGTTCAAGACTATCCTGGTCAATGTGATAAAAATTCTATCTCTACAAAAAACACAAAAATTCAAAAATTATCTGGGCGTGGTGGTGCACACCAGTAGTCCCAGCTACTTGGGAGGCTGAGGTGGGAGAATCACTTGAACATGGGAGGCAGAGATTACAGTGAACCAAGACTGCACCACTGCACTCCAGCCTGGGCAACAGAGAAAGATTCCATCAAATAAATAAATACATAAATAAATAAATAAATAAATAAATAAATAAATAAATAAATAGAAGATGTTTCACATGACTCCATCCCAGTCTATCAAATGTTGAAGGACAGATTTGGGGAAATTGGTTGGGACTTAGGGGCACTGAAAGGAAAGTTATATACCCAGGAAGCTGGAGACAGAACTATAGCCAGAAAGGGCCCCACCTGGTGAACTAGATAGTGCCAAGCCTGGAAGGCCTGCTGGGACAATGACAGATGAACGAAGGAGCAGAGACTCATGTGTCATGTGGTAGGAAAACCCCTGGAAACAGGGGGTCAGGAGACCCAGCTCCAGGCCGGCTGCTGACTTGCCCTGTGACCTCAGATAGGCCACTTCTGTCCCAGGACGGAGACTCCAGGAGGGAGGGAAGCCTCTTGGGGAGTGTCCTAGGCCATAGCACCATAGGGCATGGGGGCAGGCAGAGGGAGGATCTGGGCAGCATTCCAGCTGCAACAGAACCTCAGCCGACCCCACAGGAAGCTATGGAGAAGGGTGACCTCACACTAATGTCCTGAATTGAAGCGGGAGGACAGACCAGGCAAGGCAGCTTCCTCCAGCTGAGAGCAATGCCTGGAGAGGGACCCAGCTGAGAGTCATTGGCCACCAGCACTGCTGGCAGCTGGGGGGGATCCAGGTGGCACCCCAAAGTGCCCACTCTACCTCCTCTCTCTGACACTCCCATCACAAGTGTCTCTAAGAGTCTGTGATTCTAATGTGGTCCCAATGACGGAGGCCCACCTACTGGCAACTGGACAGGGCAGTGGTCCTGGAGTCATCCCCAAGAGCAGAGATGTCTCTGGGGTGAGGAACTTGAACCTGGCCCCTGGCCTCTCTGGGTGTAGCTGGGGGAGCCAAGGGCCTAGGGGATTCTGTCCCCACCAAGCTGCCCTGGCCACCCACTGACTGCCTCATCCTTCCAGCTGACCTGTTTGACATCCTGCTGCCCATGCTCAACATCTACCAAGAGTTTGTCCGCAACCACCAGTATAGCCTGCAGATCCTGGCCCACTGCAAGCAGAACCGTGACTTTGACAAGCTGCTGAAGCACTACGAGGCCAAGCCTGACTGCGAGGAGAGGACGCTGGAGACCTTCCTCACCTACCCCATGTTCCAGGTGGCGTCTGGCCCTGCCTGGGTGGGGGAGAGTCAGGGAGGCAGGCATGGGGGAGGGACCATGGCAGGCAGAGGGGCTCAGTGTTTAACGTGCCCCAGCTCTGGGTTGCCAGAGGGGGTGGGGGAGGTGGTTAGGGCCAGTAGCAGACAATGCTGGGTGCAGGGCAAGCTGACTGTGGGCCTGTCCACCCCACCTTTCTCTCCTGGCTCCTGAGCACCCCACACCACCCTCAACCAGAGCAGAGCCCTAGACAAGACCCTGGAAGAGCCTCCAAGTTAGAGTCTGTGACCAAAGGGCAGCCTATCTCCTTCCTCAGTTCTGCTCATGGAAGTAGTCCTCTGGGCTAAAAACCATTCTCTCTCTCTCCCACCACCCCCCTGCATGCTCTCTCTCTCTCTCTCTCCCCGCACCTGTACCCTATGCTCATGTGCTCTCTCTCTCTCTCCCTCTCTCCCCCGCCCTCGCCACCTCTATCCCTCTCTCCCTCTCCCTCTCCCTCTTTCTTTTTCTCTCTTGCTCACTCCCTGTCTGACCCTGCCTTGCTCCCCGGCCCTATTTCCCTGGCCCTACTTCCCTGGCCCTGCTTTCCCGGCCCTACTTCCCTGGCTCTTTCTCCACCCTCACCTCTCCCACCTGTCCGCAGATCCCCAGGTACATATTGACCCTCCACGAGCTCCTGGCCCACACACCTCATGAGCACGTTGAGCGCAACAGCCTGGATTACGCCAAGTCCAAACTGGAGGAGCTGTCCAGGTGAGGCCTGGCTCTTCGTGCACCAGACCGGCAGATGGGGCAGGGCTGAGGACGCCCCTCACCAGGAGTTCGCTGAACCCCTGACAAAGCTCGAGTTCAGATGGGGATTGTAAGGGAGGGGCACAGCTTGCCACAGCTCAAAGCAGAGTCCCCTGGAGTGGTCCTGAGGGGGTTACAACTCAAGCCCTGGTGGGCAGGAATAGCGGGTGCCATGCTATCCCTGGCACAGATGGGGCCCGAGGAAGGCCCCTGAGCACTCAACATCTCCCAGGAGAGGGAGCTGTCTGGGACTCCCAGGCACTCTCTGCCTGTTTCCTCTGTTCTCCAGTGTCAATGTGTCAAAACCTGTGGCAATAAGAGGCCCAGAGGGGGTCCTGGGTGACAGGCCCTCATGTGCCCAAGGCTCTAGTCAACCAGAGGCAGGTAGTGGCAGTGGGTGGATAAGCACATGGCTTGTCCAATCTAGTGCCCCAGTCCTCTGGTCAAGGCCCCTCACCTGGCCCTCTTTCAGCCCCTGAAGCCCAGAGGGAAGCTTCCTCTGCAAGGGCAGACATGGGGGAGCACGGAGGGGCTCTTGCAGCACCCCAGGCAGCAGACGACTGTGGTCATCCAGGAAGAGGTTCCAGGAAGAGGTTCAGATCCTGGATGCAATGGGATTTTCTGATGGATTTGATGTGGAAAGAGAAAGAGTAGAGTCAAGGGTGATTGCAGGATGTGGGGCTGAGCCACAAGAAGGCAGAGGTGCCGTCAACCGAGCTGGAGAAAACTGCAGGAGGGACAAGTCTGGAGGGGAGTTCAGGAGCTTTCTTGGGAGCATGTTGAACCTGAAATGCCAATTCAATGTCCAAGTGGAGATGACAAGAAGGGACTAGGGAATTTGAGTCTGGAGCGGAGGGGAGAGAGAAATCCGGTAATCATCAGCTTGCAGATGGTGTTTAAAGCGACAGCACTGGTGAGATTGCCAAGGGAATTAGCTTGGGCAGGAAAAAGATGAGAACCAGAGGCTGAGCCCGGGGGTATCTACCCTGTGAAGACCAAGAGATGAGGAAGGGCCTTGTGGTCAGAACTGGGCTGCCAAGGGCTACAAAGAAGGATCAGTCTTCAGGGTCTGGGATCCAGCCCCGGCCCCTACCCAGGGCACTGCCAAACACTCAGTGCGCTAAAAGTCTTCCTGAGGCTGGCAAGGGGCAGCCAACCAGGCCACAGCTCCCAGCTGGGTGGAGGGAGGACCAGGCTGGACCAGCACAAGGTATAGGGTGCCCCCTGATCCTTCCACGACCCAGCCAAGTTGCACACCTGAGTGGAGAATCAGGGCAAGGATGCCATCAGGGTGTGATTGCAGAGTTGCAGAGTAACGAAACCACCGATCACGAGGGTGGAGGGACTCCAGTCCTCCCATGCCCAGGGATCCAAATCCTGTACACTCTTCCCCAAGGAAAAAGGTTTGGGACTCCTGTAAGGCAGCAGGGCTCCTCCTGGCTGAGGGATATCCTATCCTGTTGCAAACAGAGCTGCAGGTGGCACATAGTGCCGAGGTATTTGACATAAGACCCTGATCCCTTATCCCCGGGATCCTCGGTGTGTGGCCTACTCTTCCTTCCTCCCACCCAACTACCTGTACCTGGCCCTGAACCCAGCTCCAGTGGCACAAAAGGTTTTCCTATCATCATGACAGTATCCCTTTCATTCTCCTCTCACGTTCCCCCAGGGAGGAAGCCATTAGATAGCCAAACTTCTCCTAGGCTGCGCTCAGAAACACTCCCCACCTCCAGGGACTGGGCCTTCATCCCACCCTTTTATCCTGACCCTTATATTCTCTGCTCACTGATAACCCAAGTCATCATTTCCAGGGCTCCCAGGAGCCTGGCAGCCTGGAAACTCCCACCGCCTTCCCAGAGCTCCCACATGTGTGCATGTGGGTCCCGAACACAAACCCCACTTGGGGCTGGAACTTAGAATGTGTAAACTGCAGCTGCTCAGGAAAACTAGTTTTGCTACCTTGGAATTACCCCCCTTGTGTTTTACCAAACACAGGCTTCCCCCACAAAATCCCACCCTCATCAAGAGAAGTGGTTTTAATTACCATTGGCTACTTCCATAATGAATCCATCTCTAGGGAACTAGCATGTGCCCAGAGGTGCCTCCCTCTCAAACATCAAGCAGGGGCCTGGGCTTCCAAGAAGAGCATTGCTGGGGAAGAAAGGGGGAAACTGAGGCTCCCAAAGAAGAGACTCCAGCTAAGGGCCCCGGTCCATTTATTAAAGTGCTAGTCTAGTGACTTTAAGCCTAAAATGCATGTCCTTAACCAGGAAAGATAATAACAACTCTTTTGCAACCAATGATAATATCATCAACAATGACTACTACCCTTTATTTAAGCAGCTGTCATGTGCCAGGCGTGGCATGGCATGGGCGAGTACCTGAAATCCCTTTTATTCCACCTCCACCCCAGCATTCTGTAGATGAGGAAACTAAGGATCAGAGGGATTGAGGAATCTGCTCAATGTCATGCTGATTCAGTTAAGCACAGATCCAGCTCCGGAAGAGGCAGTGTCATCTTTATTTTGGGGTTTAAATTGGATAATGTCTATGAGAGAAGTTTGTAAGCCACACATATTAACCAGCCCTTTTGTGGTCTTAGCTATAGAAATTCAGGCATCAGCAGCAGATAAAAGGTTTTGTACTTTGCTTGGAGTAGGTGGGATACTTTTGCCAGAAGCCCCCCTTCCCCACTCCCCAGACCCTGCCCCTGCCAAATTCCTCACTACCTTCCCAAGACTACTGGAAACCCACCAAGGCAAAATTGGCGGCTCACACCCACCTTTTCCCACCAACGCCATTTTTTAAAAGCTATTGGATGGCGCCACCTCTCGGAGAGGAGGGGTATTACAGCAGTCGGAGAGCAATAAATAGGGGAGTTGATCTATATTCAGGCTAAGGTCAGCCAGAGCTTACAGAAGTAGGCTAAGGTCAGTCATCCCCTGAGCCAGTGGGATTGCCAGGTGCTCCAAAAGGTAAGCCATTTCAGGACCCAAGCAATATTAAGGACACAACTATGCAAATATTTGGAGAAAGAGCATTCAAGAAGAGGAGACAGCGAGTGCAAAGGCCCTGAGGGAGCAATGAGCTTTGTTCTTGGGATGGGAATAAGGCTAGTAGAAGGATGAGGGTCAGGGTCATGAACACAGGATGTCTCCTGTACTCCCATATCCTTCCCAGTGCTGAGCTGCCCCTGCTGTCTGTTCTACATAGTTCGGACTCTAAAATCTGACAGAGCTGCATCGTAGATGCTGACTTCTGTTTTCTTTTTTCTGAAATAAGAACAGTTGCCTCCTTGAGCTGTCAGAAGGATAAAATGAGGTCATGCCAATGAAGTGCCCAGCATGCAACAGGCACTCAGTAAATACACACTCCCATCCCCTCCATGACCACAGACCCCACCTGAGAATCCGCGTACCAGGCTTTCTTCCTAGGTCTGGCCAGAAGCCTGGCATTCTCACCGCCCTGGGAAGTGGGGGCAGCCTGTCTCTGACTGTGCAGCTTCCCATCCCCACAGGATAATGCACGATGAAGTAAGTGAGACAGAGAACATCCGGAAAAACCTGGCCATCGAGCGCATGATCATCGAAGGCTGTGAGATCCTCCTGGACACCAGCCAGACCTTTGTGAGACAAGGTATGGCCTCTCCACCCTGTCTCCCCCAGATGGGCCCCAGCCGCAGGAGGGAGGCAGCACTCTCGGGGACACCACCAGTTGGTTTGGCTGCCACATGCCAAGACCTGCCAATGTGATTGCAGAATATTCCCAGGCTGCTGGCGGAATGCAATAGCTATATGTAGATGTCAGTATCTATACATATAGATGCAGATATTATTGGTTTTCACAGTTTCCTTCTCTCCAGATGTAAACAGAATTCTACCCAGATGGCCTTGGTTTGTCTATTGTGTGTCATAGTAAACATCGACATGTCCTTTTTGGGGAGAAAGTATGGGGCGGGGGATGAGGACAGCTAACAGTTGTCTCTGTGAATCAGAAGCATTTTCAGTGTCTGGGAGGAGGTCAGCGTTGAGTCCATTCCCCTCTCTTTTCCTCATCATCCTCTGCTGCTTTAGAGAGATCATTTTCACAGTGATTCTCATGGGAAAAGGTCTTTCCCACACTTTAGCCTTGCTTCCCTTGAGAGCAGTGATTAAGAGGCACAGCCCGGTTGAGAGAGGCAGGTGAAGGCTCTCTGTGGCTCAGGGGACTGATATCAGAACTGCAATGCATTTGAAATTCATCACATTCAACTTCCATGTTTTGTGGGAGACTGAGCTCCTGCTGGCATGCCTCACAAGTGACCTCTACCTCAAACGGACCTCCAGAGTCTCTTCTCTGTAGCCCTGGGATTCTCTGCCTAATGAAATACTTGCCAGCGCCTCCCGCTGGCCTATGCAGCTGCCTTGGACAAGGGTATCACCTTTTCAGAGTTTTATCCCAGCCCCTGTGTATGTTGGCCCCTATGTCCTTCCCCAGGCCCACCCTGTGACCTGCTGAGCTCAGATCCAGCCCTGCCTGTTTCTCAGCTCCCCTCGGGCTGTGTTGGGCGTTCTCTATGCCAGAAGTATTCTCACATAGTATTTTAGGCCCCCTCTGAAGGAACCCCAAGTGGACCTGGCTTGGAAGTAGCCCAAGAAATGACCCCTCCTGGGGTGGCCAGTACCCCCACAGACCAGAAATCTGCTCCATCACCCTGAGCCAAGGCATTTTCTCCCTCTCCAGCTGGGCTGGACCTGAAGACAAAATGAGTGGATTCTGCAAGGTGTTTCTCACTTGTCAGTCATGCAGCCAACACTGATACCTGCCCTGCTCATGCCAGACCTACAGCGCATTCTGGGGACACTCAGAGAATAGCCCCAGCCCTGCCCTCCAGAAGCCTATTGTACAGAGGGAGAGAGTCATGAGGGGACAAATGCAGGAACGTGTGCCAGGTGGATCTCCCTGATGCAGGAGGCAGAGCAGTGGCCTGGAGCAGGACCAAGAGAGTCACGAGGGCTTTCCCAAGGATAAGCAGGAATTCACAGGGAAGACAGAGTGAAGGAAGGGCTTTTCAGAACTAAGAGTGACACTCAGGCTAACTTGACCCGGAACTACATGTGAGGCAGAAGAAGGGGACAATTGTAAGAGGGCAGGCTGGGAGGTGTGCCCAAGCCAGACCGGTGGGAGGCCTCGAGTGCCTGAATCCTGGGGACAGTGAGTAGCTGTGGATGTCAGTGGGGAGGGTCCCATAGGGTATGTATTAGGGTGGGGAGACCAGAGTAGGGCAGCAATGGCTTTCATGACAGGCACCTACTCTGCTCAGTAATGGCTTCCTAGAGTGCTGTGCTGAGGACTGAGAGGCTCTGTCTGAGCTCTGCAGTATGGTGCAGTGATTGATTGGTGATGTCTGCCATGGCTGTGGACAACAGGAGTGCAATGTATCTTTTTTTTTTTTTTTTTTTAAATCTTAGTAGCTATCTTTTTTACAAATAGGATGGGAGGCAGGTTTTGCCCTAAGCAGTTCCCAGGAGTGCAATGTATCTTGTTAACCCCTCGGGGCCTGCAACCGGTTCCCCACTTATTCAGCCCCCTGCCATCCCCAGGCCTCAGCCCAGCCCTTCATTCTCACCACATGGGCCACGCCCTTTGGGGTTTCCTCTACCTGCTGAGTCCCTAGCCCCTGGCTGGGACATCAGTGGGCACTGCATGGAGCTTCTCTGGTCACCTCTCATCCCCCAACCATCTGACCCTGCAGAGAGGCCTAAAGGAGCATCCCAGGAACACATTTGCCACTGGGAACCAGAATGGACTTGTCCCACTGCTGCTGCCCCAGTATCTCAACCTTCAAAGCTGGGTCAGAGGCAAAGGTCACCCCAGAAAATGGGCTCAGGGTCTCTCTCCTCCACCCACAGGTTCCCTCATCCAGGTGCCCATGTCTGAAAAGGGCAAGATCACCAGAGGGCGCCTGGGGTCTCTCTCCCTAAAGAAAGAGGGTGAGCGACAGTGCTTCCTGTTTTCTAAGCATCTGATTATCTGTACCAGAGGCTCTGGAGGGAAGCTTCACCTGACCAAGGTAAGGGCTGTGGAAGAGGGGCTCGGGGGCTGCCCAGTGAGGGTAACACAGGTGCTGTCCTGGCCATAGGGTCTATGGGCCCAGGTGGTGGGCAGGGGTGTTGGAGACATATGCATGCACACACGCACAGATATACACACACCCCGTAGTTTGGCCAGTTGGAGCGAGCAGAACTTGACCAATTTTCCACTAGCGAAATCCTGGGAGATGGGAAGGTGAGAACCGAGGGCCTCAGATTCCCCACGCTGGGCACCTGGGCAGAGGAACCAGAGGGCCTGGACAAACCCCTAAAAGGCATGTGTGTGTGCATGTGTGTGTGTCTGTGTGTGTTTGTGTGTATGTATGTGTGGTGTTTTTGTGTCTGTGTGTTTGTATATGTGGTGTGTGTGTGTATGTGTATATGCATGTGTGTGTATGTGTGCGTGGTGTGTATGTACATGTGTGTGTCTGTATGTGTTTATATCTCTCTGTGTGTATTAGTCCACTTTCTTACTGCTATGAAAAAATACCTGAGACTGGGTAATTTACAAAGAAAGAGAGGTTTAATGGATTCACAGTTCCACATGGCTGAGGAGGCCTCACAGTCGTGGTGGAAGGCGAAGGAGGAGCAAAGGCACGTCTTTCATGGCAGCAGGCAAGAGAGCATGTGCAGGGGAACTGCCCTTTATAAAACCAGCAGATCTTGTGATACTTATTCACTATCACAAGAATAGCTTGGGAAAAACCTACCCCCATGATTCGATCCCCTCCCACTGGGTCCCTCCCATGACAGGTGGGGATTGTGGGAGCTACAATTCAAGATGAGATTTGGGTGGGGACACAGCCAAACCATATCAGTATGGATATATGTGTATATGTCTTTGTGTCTGTGTGTGTGGTGTGTGTGTGTATGTATGTGTATATATGTGTGTCTGTATTTGTGTATATGATATGTGTATTTGTGTGTAGTGTGTGTAGGTGTTTGTCTGTATGTGTGTTGTGTCTCTGTGCATTTGTGTGTGTTCAGTGTGTGTGTGTGTGTCTACGGTATATGGCATATGTATGTGTATATATGTGTTGTCTTTCTGTGTACAGGTGTGGTGGGTATGTGTGTGGTATATGTCTGTGTACCTATGTGTATATCTGTGTACGTTTATATGTATGTATGTTGTGGGTGGGTGTGGTATATGTGTATATGTGTGTGTGTCTGTGTGTGGTGTGTGTATGTTTCTGTGTACATGTGTGTATGTATGTGTGATGTGTGTGTGGTGTGTATATGTGTGTGTGTTTGTATGTGTGATGTGTGTATGTGTGTATCTGTGTGTGTCTATGTGTGAGATATGTGTTGTGTGTGTGGAGTATGTGTTTTTGTGTCTGTGTGTGTGGTGTGTGTGTGTGTGTGTGTGTCTGTGTGTGGTGTTTGTGAGGGGCAGGGTGGAGGGCCTCCACTGGCTGAGGGCCAAGGCATCACTCAGAGCCTTTCTTTCATCTCCACCACAAGGGAGCTCTGACAGAGCCCCTCCCAGTGACCTTCTCAAGCATTCCCTCCTCCAGCACAGGAGCCCTGGAGGCTGCTGAGCTTCTCCACACGGAGCTTCTAGACCTTGCAGCCCTGTGTGAGGCCCCCAATGCTCAGCTAACCAGCTCATCCCTCAAGGTGGAGGGAATGAGCATCTCAGACCTGCTCCTGCCTCCTCATAGGCCCAGGGCCTTTTCTCATGCTGTCTGTTCAGCCACACAGCCTCCTCTCCCCTGGCAGACCACCTTCACATCCCTCAAGGCCTGTTCAAGTGCCACCTCTGCTGTAAAGCCTGTGACCTGGGCAGGATCTCCTATCCCCCGACACAGCCCACTGCTTGTCTCATTGCTCTGAGCTCCACATCAGTCCCAGCTCCATCCCTTACACACATGTGACCCTGGAAAAGACCCCTGCCCCTGTCCACACTTCTTCTATCAAATAGAGACATTGGCCCTCACAGAGACATTGCACAGATAAGTTAGCGCTGAGCTCACAGTGGGTGTGGATTTGCTGTCAATTAGGAAGCACTTGCCTCTGTGAGCTACAGTCCCCGCAGCCCTGCATTCATCACCTTGGAAGCCTGAACACATTGTGGCCTGGAAAGGGCCAGAGGGTGCTCTCAATTAAGCCACAGCATCAGAGAAGCCATTCTTCCAGACCCTGGATGCCTGGCCCGTAACCTCCTGCGGAGCTAACAGACCCAACAATGGCTTCAGGGAATATACTGCTTATGTTCACATAGCCACAAATTAGCTGGCTGGCTGCACAAGGGGAAATTAATTTACAAATATTGAATACTTCTGTTTTAACCAAATTATGTATCAAGGAAAGCTTTCATTATTTATTAGCTCTGGAGTTTCTACTGAGAAGATCTGTGTCTAGGCTGGGGGTGTGGCAGGGGTCAGTGGGGACAGGTTAAACTGAAGACACAAAGGTTCTGAAAATCCAAAAGCATGTTTTTATGTTTGTTTTATTTTATCTGGAGTTTTTTGTTTGTTTGCTTGTTTGTGTTTAGTTTTTTGGGGGGGTTTTGGGGGGTTTTTTTGTTTGTTTTTGAGATGGAGTTTCGTTCTTGTTGCCTAGGCTGAAGGGCAATGGCGCAATCTCTTCTCACTGCAATCTCCGCCTCCCAGGTTTAAGAAATTCTCCTGCCTCAGCCTCCCAAGTAGCTGGGATTATAGGCACCTGCTACCATGCCTGGCTAATTTTTGTATTTTTAGTGGAGACAGGGTTTCACCATATTGGCCAGGCTGGTCTCGAACTCCTGACCGCAGGTGATCCACCAGCCTCGGCCTCTCAAAGTGCTGGGATTACAGGCATGAGCCACCGTACCCAGCTGTTTTTAGTTTTAAAAGTCTGTTAGCACATTGATGAAGAACATGGACTCAGAAATCAGCTCAAATCCCAGCACTGCCATTTACCAGTAGGTGACCTCAGACAAGTCACAAGGCCTCATCAGGCTTCAGTTTCCTTATCTGCATAAAGAGTGTAGAAATACCTTCTTCACAGGAGTGCTGTGAGGAGTAAGTGAGGGAGTTCTCATGTCAGGTACACACTGCATGCTCACTGGATAACAGACATTGTCACTCTTAATTATGTAATAATGAACTTGTATTTCTAATATCAAGCCCTTACATAATGCTTACTATGGGGCAAGAACTCGCTCAAATACGTTATGTATATTTAATTCCCAGAACAGCCCACTGAGACGGATACTATCATTTTCCCCATTTTATATAGATAAGGGAAGCAAGACAGAAGAAGCCAGCACATGGCAGGGGTGGGATTTGAACTGAGCCAGTCTGGCTCCAGAGTCTGTGTTCTTAATCACTGTGCTCTACTCTCCAATAGCCGTAAGCTAAAATTCAAATCACTTCTCTTGAAATATCACAAGTGGCAATAGAATGCCTTAAGTCCTTTCTGAAGGGGGCAGACTACAGATCTGCAAGATTTAAAACGACTGTAAGAATTTTTGAGACCCTGAAGTAAGAGAATGTCAGAGCTAGATGGGGCTTTCCAAATGATGAAGCCCAGTGATGTCACTGGGCAGGCTTGAGGCCCAGTGGGTTAGTCCTGGGGGCTAACCCAAGGCCACCAAAGAGCAAAGCAAGAAGTCAAATCCATGGTTTGGCAGTCCACTTTGCCTCCCAAGGGGCAGCCTGCTCTGCAAGCGTTTTCATATATAAATTAGTCACATGGCCAGGTCTCCTAATCATTCATTGCTATTTCACTTCAATCTGTTGCTATATAATAAATTACCCCCAAATGTAGTAGCTTAAAACAAACATTTATTACCTCACAGTTTCTCTGTGGGTCAGGAAATCAGGAGCGACTTATCTGGGTAGTCTTGGCTCAGGGCATCTCAGGGGTTTGCAGTCAAGATGTCAGCTGGGGCTGCAGTGTTCTGAAGGCTCAACTGGGGCCGGAGTATCCTATCCTTTTCCAAGATGGCACACCTCCATGACTATTGGCTGGAGGCCTCAGTTCCTCATTCATAGACCTCTCCCCACAACATGCCAGTTGGTGTCCCCCAGAACAGGTGATGCAAGAGATAGCAAGAGAGCAAGCAGGAGGCTGTGGTCTCCAAAGTGGCACACCATCACTTCTGATTTATTCTTTTAATTAGATGTGAGCCACTAAGTCCAGCCCACACTCAAGAAGAAGGGAATTAGGCTTTGCTTTTTGAAAAGAAAAATGTGAAAGAATTTGTGAGCATGTCTTACAACCACCACAGCTGTGGCCACTCTTATTTCTCACTACAATATCAAGGGACCTCCTACCCAAGAGATGCTCACACACTCATGGATGGGAGGCATTTTTCCAGGTATTCCTAATAATTAAAAATAAGTAACTGACCAGGACTGGGATTGGGCCCTTGAGGCTCTCTCCAGACTCACTGCTAACTTGCCAGGGGACCTTGAACAAGGCATGCAACTTCTCTGTCTTCATTTCTTCACCTGTAAAATGAGAATTACAATACCCATAAGATCAGCCTCTGTCTTCCTGTGGGTAACCTGATAGCTTTGGCCCAAAATGGGGGATTTCAAACCTCTGCAAACTTAGGGCTGTGAAGCGATGCCCTGGAACTGCTGTGGAAGCAAGAAAGGGTCGAGCAGGCCAGGTTCTGGCCGCTCCACCCGTGACCTGAACTCAAGCTTGGTTTGGGGAAGGCCTCTCTGAGACAATCCCCTTTGACTCACTTCACTGAGTTTCTTATATGAAGATAAAGTTCTTCCACTGAAAAAGCAAAATATCCACTTGGCATATAATATATCCATACATCTGTGTGTGTACATGGATGCTCCTTGTTAAAGTCCCTTCCAGCCCTATCATCCAGGGACTCCTAAACCAGCACATCTACCCCTCGATCCAAAGTAGCCCCTGCTGCTCTTTTTCAGAACGGAGTCATATCCCTCATTGACTGCACTTTATTGGAGGAGCCAGAAAGCACGGAGGAGGAAGGTGAGTGTGAAGGCTGCATGGGTGCATGTGTGTGCTTGCACAGACACACACATGCTCACTCCTAAAGGTTGGGCCAGGCATTGGTTTCTTTAGGAGGAAGGGAGGATGCTGAAGTGCAGAGGGGAGGTCCACACATGCCCTCATGCACGCACTCTATTCAGTCCCTGCTACAGCTGGGCTCTGCTCCCCTCTACTTCCAATAAGGTGTGGAGAGACCAGAGCCTGAGGCTTTAAAGAAAGAGCTCCCAACCCAGCAGGTGATGACCCTGATCCACCTTCCTGGTTCCTTCCAAGCTCCTTGGGCTGCTGGGCCAGTTGGCACTGTTAGGTTTTGGGGTCATGGCATCTCGGTGAGCACGCCTCATTCATGCACCTGCATGTGACATGCACAAGGACTCTCAGGGCCACATGCTGGGAGCCAGGGAGACACCCAGCCCTATCTCTGTCCTGCAGTGGAAAAGGAAAGAATGTGCAGGGGGCACTGACAGAAGTATTGCAGGGCTGAGCGTCCTAAGAGAGGGAACTATCCCCTAGCAGGGACCAGGAGGGGAGGCAAGACCTCAGTGAGAAGGGACTGAACAACTCAAATGGAGCTGAATGGGGAAGTCCACGGAGGGCAGAGTCCTTGGTGCTGTGATGTTTGATGGGATTTACCTCCCAAGGCATCAGAATTGGAGGTGGGGTCATTATTCAGATTAGGGGGAGTGATCACTACTGTTGGGCCAAAGTTGGCACTCATCTCCCTTCTTCACTGACCCCAAGCCAAGACCCTCAGAGATGCCTCTGGATGCCCTGCTCTGTGGGGACACCAGCAGGACCCGTGCTCTTTTCCCTCCTCAGACTGGGCCTCCTGGGGTGGGCTGTGTCTGAAGCACCTCAGCCTCACAGGCCCAGCATGGCATGGGGATGGGCATGGGCCTAGGGGTTGCCACACACACACTTGGCAAACACAAACACACACACACATGCCCTCATGCATGCACCCTGTTCAGCCCCTGCTACCACTGGGTTCTGCTCCCCTCATGCCCTTCCAATAAGGGCCAAACCAAGTGGTTCCCCAAGGGAAGAATAAAGGAGGAGGCAGCTGACCTGGAGCCTTCCTATCAGTGCAGCCTTCTTTCATCTTGGCCACAGCAGGTCCGCAGGAAAGCCCAGACTCAAGTGGCACTGTCAGGCCCCAAGGCTGTTTACCCTCCTAGGCCGAGGGAGGTGGGAGCATGGCCACAAGCGTCCCCCACCTGAAACACACTCACACACAGGCACCCACTTCTCAGAGACTCCAGCACAGTCCCAGGACAATGGGCTCCCCCGTGCCCAGCAAGGACTCCTAAAATTCTCAGGTGTCAGAACTGGAAGGGACAGGAACCTCAGAAATCAAGTCCCACTCCTGTTGTACAGGAGGACATCTGAAGCCCAGAGGGGGAAGGAAACCACCTCAACATCACACAGCCATAGAGCTTCAGAGCAAAGCAGAGCCAAAGCAGGCCCTTTACACCATTAACCCATTCAGTGCATCCCCAATTAATGTGAGTGCATTGAAAAGAATCTTGAAGCCGTAGTCTTAGTCTTAGTTTTTCCAAATAAACAGCTTTCAAGACTTCAAGGAATTTTCAGGTTAAGAGCAGTAATAAAAATACCTTGGATTCACTTTTGCTTTGGGGAGCTCTAAACTGAACTAAATGTCCAGTCCAATCCATAAAAGTTTAAGATCTTGAAGTTCCTCATTTGGCCCCAGAACCACCTTGGGGGTAGCAGGAGGGCCTGGCTGTGAGGCCCATTCTAGCCCTGCCCTGGCTTGGCCACCACCCTGCTGGGAGCCTTGGACAAGTCCTCGCCTGGGACCTCACCTCCATTGGTGTAAGGAGGGCAGAGGGCAGACTGATTCCTAAAGGCTCTCCTGCTCTGAATCCGGAACTGCCCCTGAGTGATCGCAAGCTACGTCTTACTTTTTCCATCTTTGAAATGGAGATTCCCCACTTAGAAAAATAATATTCTGAAAGTAGCAGCAATTGGCCCGGTGCCTTACCAAGGCAGAGCCTCCACCGGTGCGTACGACAGGGACCAATAAAACATTTTCCAACTGAAAAAGTGTCCACATTCATGCTGCTAACTTTATGTTTTACAACTGGAAGCCAAAGGATCCAGCCAAGACATAGATCACTTGGATTTTAAAATCGGGGTGGAGCCAAAGGATTCCCCGCCCTTTACGGTCATCCTAGTGGCCTCGTCCAGACAGGAGAAGGCGGCGTGGACCAGTGACATCAGCCAGGTGAGTAGCGTCACCTGTTCCTGAAAGCGAGTGGTCCCTTCATGCTTAACCAGGTCAGGGGCTTGGCTGGTGGGGGGATGGGGAGGGGCGGTGGAGTAGCTGCACTGTTCTACAGAGAAAGATGCAAGAATCTTCCAAGCCCACAGCCCTACCCAAAGCTGAGCTCAGCTAGTCCATCCCATTTACAGTCCCCTGGGTCACCTTGAAAGTGTGGTCTGGAAACCCCTCTTGCATCTGTACCACCTAGCAAGGTGATTTTATAAACTTCAGTTTCCTGGACCCTTCTCCCCTTTCCCCACTACCCTGCCGACCTACAAATCTAAATTGTTGGCATATGACCTGCAAATCCACATTTTAGTACATGCCCCAGGTAATTGATATGCACAGAAAAGTCTGAGCATATTAGATGTAATAATGTCCACAGTGAGAGAACGGTCTCCCTGAAAGCCGAGGGTAGCTTCTTCAGTGAGTCGGGGCAGCTACCTAAGATCAAACCTAGCCTCAACTATGCACATGGAAGATTAAGTTTTGCTTTGGCCTGCTGCAAGCATTAGGGTCATTTGCCCTATTTGGAACATTAACCAGGAAGCACAGACTTTCCCAGGTACCAGTGAGCAGACCCATAGTGCCCATGGGTGCCTAAAGTACAAGGGGTGAGACTTGAGTCCAAAAAGAGGTTGTCAGCAGCACCGGGGTTCAAGCCCCAGGACAAGCCCCTCCCTGAGCCCAGCAGGGGCCTGTGATGGATCAGGGATGTGCCATCCCAGCAGCTGGGAGCCTTGGTCATCCTCTCTGTGGGGTAGGGTGTAGGAGAGCAGCCAACAACAGGAGAAGGGGAGGGAGGTTGGTGGCCCCCCCTCCATGGTCCAGAGGGTTGCAGGAGGCCTGTGCCTGTAGGAACTGAAAGGGCAGGGCAGCATCTTCATGGGATCTAGGACGGCTGCCCTTGCTCGCTCCCCACCTTCTTGGTTTTGTGCCCCTTCCAGGCTCCCCTGACTGCCCCTTCCAGCCTTCCTTCTGGCCCACCTGCCCATCTCGCAGTCCCAGAGGAGTAAGGCGGGTGGGATGATGCATAGCACATGCCTGTTCTGAGTCTTCCCACATGTCTTCAAAACACCCAGGAAGCCCTGGAGAAAACTGCAGACCCTGACCTTGGCCCTTTCACATCCCCAGTGAGCTGCAGCCGTCAAAGGCCCAGGGCTACTTGCCCGGAGGGTGCCCACTAGTCCTCTGCCCTCCTTGCAGCTGTTGTGGATGCCAGTGAATGGGTCAAGGTGGGAGTCCTCTGGCCCCTACACCAAGCCCTCCTGCCTCCATAATACTCTGAGCCCCTGGCCAAGTCTTTGTTCTGCAGTCGCTGGTAGAACCAAAGCTAGAGAGATTGTCAGGTGGGTGAGAGAAGTGGGACTGAGAAACGCAAATGACAGAAGCCTCCCTCATTGGGGTCCTGGCCGTGCCCAGAAGTCTGGGCCTGGGAGCTCCACCACCCACTGTGCCAGCTCTCAGTTGCTACTTCCCAATGACTTTGACACCCTCCTCCCTGCAACACACACATTCCCAAAACCAGAAGCTTCTGTAATGTGCCACCAAGGCTTCCCCATCGCTATGCCAAGAAGAAACCCTCTCATGGCAGAAATGTGAAGACCCAGGGCAGGGGATAGTGCAGGGGAAAAGAGGCAGCCCCCCCAAGAGATGCAGCTTTTATTTTTGTTTGGGCGGGTACTTTTTATTCAAAGCAAAATTTGCATTTTGAATATTTTTGGAGGTCGAGTGAAATGTACAATCATCTGTGGCCCTCCTGCCAGTAGCCTTGCCTTCCCCAGGAGCCCACACCCATGCATTCTTCATATAGAAAACCATCCACAGCATCCAAGTGTTGGCACTGTGATGGTCAGAGCACAGAGAGAACAGTTCAACACCCCCGTGCAGGGGGGCAGAGGCCCTGCTGGGCTGGCCTCCCAGGAGAGAGATCCCACATCATCTTGGATCTGATCGTGTCCTTGACACTGGACCCCAGAGATCAGCAACAGAATGGTCAGTGGCAGATGCATTCATTTTGCATCCCAGTGGTTGTTTGCAGTCAACCCAGTGAGGTAGAAGTCATTATCCCCACTTTGCATATAAGGAAACCAAGACTTGAGATCAAGTAAGTTCCCCAAGGTCACTCAACTGAGACTTGACTTCTGGCCAAAGTCTAAAGGATGCTCCACACTGACCCTGCCTTTGCCAGGACAATGCCCTTGAAGCTTGAGGACCCTGTGTCAAGCCAAGGCATGTGAACTTTACAGTTGGCAGAGCTCCTGGTGGGCCTGGGTCCAGCAATGGAGAGCTCTCATGCTGGGGTCCTCTCTCTGATTCCAGTGTGTGGATAACATCCGATGCAATGGGCTCATGATGAACGCGTTTGAAGAAAATTCCAAGGTCACTGTGCCACAGATGATCAAGTAAGTGCCCTAAACCCCTTTTGACCAGGCAGCATTCCAGAGACTGGGTACCACAAGGCGACAGCCAGGACACTGGGATGAGCCAGCTACTGGGGTTCAGAGATGCTGGGCTTTGTCTTCGGGGGTGTTTTGGATGTTTTCTTGTTTGTTTGTTTTGAGTTGGGTGATTGCTATTTGGATGATTGCTTTGGCTTAGTTTTTTTTTTTTTTCTTTGTTTGTTTTAATTTTTTATTTCCATAGGTTTTGGGAGAACAGGTGGTATTTGGTTATATGAGTAAGTTCTTTAGTGGTGGTTTGTGAGATTTTGGTGCAGCCATCTCCCCAGCAGTATACACTAGACCCAATCTGTAGTCTTTATTTTTATTTATTTATTTTTATTTTATTTATTTTTTTTTTTTT